GAGTCATTCGCCATGACCACAGCAAAAAACAACGTGTCAAACCCTTCCGTCCTGCTGACGAAAACTGAGTCTGAATTTCTAAAATCCGAGATAAGCCCACCACTCTGACTTGCACGTCGCGTTTTCTTATCTTCCCTTCTCCCCCCTTCTCCTCCTGGGTACAGTCGGCTGCTCGCTGTATAAAGTTTACTCGTCTGTTGCTAGTTGAAAAATGTTGTTGTGTTGTCCCTGTTTAGTTGTTTCATTGTTTCTTCATCTATGACTTAAACCAACACGCTCAACTCCCAAGCTCACCGGGAACACAGCGGGCTCCTGACGCTCTCTCCCCCGTCCCTAACAAGAAAAGAGCGAGAGTGTTGTGCAGAAGGCCATTCGGTATATTATACACAAATCATGGAAATTCGGAGAAAACCACCTCGTGCGTTTTATACCGACACCCCACTCAAGATCAAATGTGAGCGATGGCGAGTTATCTCTACTTCTTAAATTCTATACTAAGGATGGAGTAGGCTGCTCTAGACAAAGCCCAAATAAGAAAGACGCCATTTGTGTATTGATCAAAAAAAGAAAAACAAGACCTGCGTAAGTCTTTTATGAAACGATCAATCTGAGAGTAATTTAGTGTGTTCAATAGTGCAAAACACAAATCCAAGCTTGGCCTCATTAACTTCCCTCATTGCGACCTCGGTGGAACACGTGTGCACCACAGAGAGGTGTTTTTGTATGTATTTATTGCGCGAATTCCAAGCTTCCCGCAGCAGCTTTTGAAAGAGTTATCGGTAAATCGTCAACACCTCTGACCTTGAATCCAGGCACTGGTTTACTCAGCAAGCCAATCAGTGTCGAATGCCCACTGCGAGATATGGATTGCAGTTCTACGCTCTAACGGCTTGGCAATCTGGAAGAAGCAGAGCTTCTGTTAGTGGCGTGGTAATATAAATCTTCGATAAAAAGCTTTGAATTTGGTGGTATTTATAAATTAACTTCAGATGCTGGTAGGAATGTGGATCTCTTATCATCATGTTAGATAAGTTCACGGAAAGTTGATACACACGGAAAAAAGTTGCGAAGAAAAGGAATGCCCCAGAATACATTTTGATTTTGCGGATAATTGAACCATTTTGCTTTCAGAAGTCGAGGTCTACAACTGTCTCAAAAAGTACGTTTAAGTCTTCTCATGCGTAAAAATCCACTCGCAGCCTCGCGGTCATCAGCAACAATGTAATTCACAAATCGGCCCACGCCTGCTTTGCACTCGGAAAAGTCACGGATTCGATTGATGACAAAGGTACTGTTTACTGGCAAGTTGTTTATGCAAAGGATGGTGCAGCGAGCCACTTTAAGAACCATTATCAACTGCACGAATTTAGGAAACTTGTGTACGCTATAGCCAAATGGCTGGTTTTTGCCAGTTGATACGGCTAAAACGCGTGCGATGGTTTAAAAGGACTTGTAAAACATAAGGTCACTCTACACAAGTTGTGACATCCAGCAAGCATGGCGATGCAAAACGCCCGAGAAATCTCACGAGTATTTTCCCAGCAGCAACAAGGAGTCAAGTAGATTTTCTTTGAAGCAAACAAACTAATGGAGTTTCGAAGTGCGAAAAATGAACAATGAAGACAGGTGTGCCCCGTTGCTGGAATGAAAATGTCGCATGAAAATGTGCATGATTACTCCCTATTTCACATTTCATCCTGTTGTGACCATCAGCACAAAGTTGGAGTCCCAGGCTCATTTAGCACATTTCAATCTTACTTTTGACCCCGCACAGCCGAGGGATTGAGCCACCTCCCCGGGTTGATTGCTACTATAACTGATACTAACCATTTTAGAAATTCTGTGAATACCTGTTTTAACGGTGACCCATGGCCTGTGGATCTTCTTTGTTTGTTGTATATTTAATATTGTTTACTAGTTACTGTTTTACTACCTTTCTCTCCATGTATGTACTCTCCCCCTCTGTAATGCCTCCGGGCCCTGACGGTACTTTCAATAAGTAAATAAATTAATAAATTCGTACAACGAGAGTGAACTTGGAACTGTGTCTGTCCCGGACCACAGATAGCGTAATGACGACTATTTTTAAACAATTACTTAACAATTTGAGTGCCCATCGCGTAGAATGGAGACGAGAATTCTGTTTTTTAGATGAATTTAAGTGTTAACTTGACAGGTTCAACCAAAGTGTTATGTTCGGTACCTACCTCGGCTGCGAAAACCTAGTTTTAACAAACAAAACTTTAGGACGCAAAGGAGCTGGTGAAGGTTTAAGATAATTTGAGACAAACCCCCGAGACTAATGAAAAGACGAAGGGCAGAACAGCACACATAATCTCAAACATAGTTTTGAGCTGTGTTTGAAACCCTGTGTGTTGTGTTGTTCTTCGTCTTTTCCCCAGTATCAGAGGTTTGTCTTAACTTATGTTAAACCTAGGTTTCGTGCTGGTGATTTGCTTTTCAGTCAAAAGGGGCACGTACTAGGAAGTCGCAATAGAAGGCTGAACTTGAAACTGACTTTCTCTCCGACCATAGAGGGTGCAATTTGACCATTCTTTCTATATAACTACAGCTTGGATATTCTGAGTGCCGAACACGTGTAATTTCGTTAATCTGTTATAAAGAGTCAAGTGTTACTTCACGGTTCCACTACGATATTGTGTTTGGTTCCTTCCACGGGAGCGACAACAGAGGCATTGTGTTTTTCCCTATCTGGGGAATTGTGTTTCAGTTTGCGCCTCTACCAAGCAGCGACCTATAAAACTAGCGCGAAGGCGGGCTCGGCATAGAACGCTTTATGTTCAGGCTTTGAGCTACTGCCAAGAGTCTATAGGTGCACTTACTGAATATGGTTATAGTATCAGATATCTGAAATTAATTTGCACTTAGGCACGAAGTAAAAATATATATAGTCTGTGGCATTCTCGCTCACAGTTTGTCCGGAGAAAGGAGCCAAGTCCTGATGGAGATACATGAAATCTTCGAGCCCGGTGCTCGGCTGCTTACGCCGCCATGGCTGAACTAGCTGACCTGTCCCCTAGCCACGCGTTTCTTGCCCCGTGCCTCGGTCTCACACTCGCTCCTCGTGCGTCCGCTGCGTCGTCGCCAAAGTTCTGGGTGTGCGAAAACCCCGCAACCATTTTAAACACTTCTTTGCATTTTAATACTTTATACCTCTACGGATTAAAAAAAACAGGGCAGGGAACGGTAAAAAAAAAACACGCTTTTTGTGTAAGGCACGTCAGACAATGGGGCGCTGGTGGAAACTAGCCTTCTGCGTTAAGTGCTTATTTCGAACACTTTTTGTTTCCGTTCCGCTCTCTGAAAAGCCTGGAAGCGCATCAGCACGCACCTGGTATCGTTGCGCCTCAGCGTTCTTCCGCGACATAAGATCCGTCTCCTTTCATCTCCGTCACCATGGCACCGAACGCCGAAAGACCTCTTCGGACGGCGCGTGTATCGCTGGGGAGTGCGTTAAACCCCACCCCCCTGTGTTCACGACTCATCGCGGCGACAGTCTGTGGCTGCTAACTATTAAATTCTGGCTAGCACGCAGGGGGGTAGAGTGTCTGTTTCCATTCATTCCACGTTCGTGGCCATGCTGACGGCGATGAAAGCAGACGCCATTTAGGCTGCGGAAGAACACTGCGGCGCAGAGATACGATGTGCGTGTTGAGGCCGCTTCCGTGTGCTTTTCAATGGGTAGAACGCGAACAAAAAGAGTTGGAAATAAGAACATAATGGAAAACGCTGGTTTTCTCCAGGGCTTTATAATATGACAAGCCCTACTCAAAAAGCATGTTTTTAAACCGGAGTTTAGATTTTTTTTTTCACAGCAACTTGGGTTTTAGGTACCAATGCTCCAACTCCTTTATAAAACATAGAAAAAAGGCCGGAGACTGTGAAAAATATTTATCTCTGGAAGATAAATATCTGAGCGTATTATTTACAACATAATGCAATTTGATGTAATTGGTAAGACATGGCGATGTGGCATTACTTGAACATGAAACAACAAATTCCACTCTGAATTCGCGAAACGTCCTACCTTCGGAAATGTTTGACGCGATGTCAGTCCGTTCATATATAAACGAGTGCATCAATTTATTTCTAGATGATAGATCCTTTGGAGAAGTATACTTGAAAAAAAAAAAAACAAGTGCAGCTTAAAAATGTTACGTGATTAAAGCTAATCATGTTTTGGTAAAAATATCAAAGTAGATAAATATGTTTGCATCGGAGCGCTATATTGTATGCCAAAATAAAAAATGCAATTTTTTAGTGAAAAACACCGAGATATCGTGTCAAATTCTTCACCTACATAACATAAAATAAATTTTTTATTGCATCTTGAAGTTGCGGAACGTTTTACTTTGACACATGTTTGAAGGGCTGTAAGTATTTTTTTATGAACTAAAGTAGCACATTATAAACAGATATACACTTTTGTGAATAATATATGAAAAACAAATGACAAAGATGATATATCTTATAAACACTACGAGAAAATAAATCCTAATTATATAGCTAAAATGTCAGAGTGGCGAAATGTTTGCAATTGTGACGCACGATATATATTTTCTAAAATTGTAGATATTGTAATGGATATCGGCACTATAAAATAATATGTTCATAAAGCATTTGAGTTTTTTTGTTTAATGGTTTACAGTATTTCCGGGCCATCTAACCTTGTATTTATGAAAAATACCAAAAGGAGGTTACTGCTCTTAGTCAGACTTGATATTTTTTTTCTCCAGAAGTGCATTCGGGTTTTAAACTTTTCTTGATTTTTTGGGGGGAGTAGTATAGAAATGTATAAACAAAATATCGGCCGAACACGTGTGCATAACCTAATCTAAAGGATATATAAACCAATGAAAATAAATATATAATAAATATAAAGAGCGCGTCAATATTTCATTGCACATAGACTGAATATTTTATACGCGATAAAATTTTTTGCTTAAAACACATTTTAATATCAATTGTGTCTTATTCAGATGAACGGAACTGAGCTTGAACAAAACTTGTACCAAGACAGAGAGAAGATGGCCGCGGTAGCTGTGGAAGAAATCGATGACACTATTGAAGTGGTACGAATATCTTCTGGTTTCTTCTTTCTACTGTGGGAATGAAGTAAAGATTAATAGAGAAATCTGTTATATATATATATTTTCCGTGATACGTTGGCAAAGCACTACGTAGTGGAAATATGAGGTCGTCCTGGAATCAAGAAAAAGAACGCAGCAAAAAAGAAACGTTAGCCCAATTGTTTTGTCTGCATTATTTTAAATCTATACGTCAAAACATTTACGAAACAAGCCATGTTTGTGTTGTTTGTAAAAAAAAGAATTACAACACTTTGCTCTGCGACGATTCTGACAAAATTCAATGGTGAACTATTGGGCCAAAATGTAGATGTGTCTGAGAGTTTATGTCCCTAAAATGACCGAAGAAATCAAGGCAGGATCGAACTTCAATTTTTTTTGCAAGAGTCTGGGTATTCGGGCATTAATTCGCCAAACAAGTGCCAGATTTAGGCTTCATATTTGACTGTCATCTGGCACCTTTGGCTTAAGTCTGGATAATTTGCTGGATTATCCTAAAAGCCATTACATTGATTTACAGATAATGGCACTTTAGTCAGTATTTGGCAGGCTAGAAACAGGACGTGAAAAGAAATTAAAATTAACTGTTGGGCTAGTTGGTTAGACATCTTAATTCAAAACCGCAAAGGACAAGGAGAGGACTAAGAAAGAACAGGGCAAGCGCTTACTAACAACTGATTGTTTAATTACTGTATTAAAATTAACTGTTGGGCTAGTTGGTTTAACAATCAGTTGTTAGTAAGCGCTTGTCCTGTCCTTGTCCTTTGCGCTTTTGTAATGAAGACGTATAAACGCCGGAGTAAGTCACTTTGACTCAAAATAACGCCCTGTAGCATATTCTGTATTAGCGCAATTAAGTTTGGCCACCGAGATTGATAAGCTTCTGCCAAGTTTGGCGTTTCTCAGGCGTGCTACCTGGGATAGGTAATACCTCATTCTGGGTTATTGTATAATGTATAATTACAACGTTATTTCCGTTATTTTCCCTACATTCCCGTAGAGTAATAAATGGTTCAATACACTCTAAGAAAAAAGGGAGCGCGACTTAGTCCCCGAAGGGAGCAAGTGCGTTGCCACAACCATTAGTCCCCTCGGGGACTAACGGTAAGGGGAGTAACAGTTGCGCCCCCCTTATTAGTCTTTCGCACTAGCACCGTTAGGACTAACTGTTACACCGTTTCAATTGCACCTCGAGGACCAACTGTTAGGCCCTTGCACTAGGTCTCCTGGGACCAATTGTTACACCGTTTCAATTGAACCCCGAGGACGAACTGTTAGGCCCTTGCACTTCGACCCCAAGGACTAACTGTTACACCGTTTCAAATGAACCCCGAGGACCAACCGTTAGGCCCTTGCACTTGAACCCCTGGGTCTAAACGTTGCGCCGTTGGATTTAGACCCCTGGGACTAAAGGTTTATCCTTTGCATTTGGTCCCCAGCCACAAATCACCAAAACGAAATCGTCCAGTTCAGGTGAAACGTAGCTTTATTGCCTCGTAAATACACATCGCATTCAAGGATGACTAAAGTCAAAATTCCTGAGCGGTAGACTTCACGATAAGGCCAGATTCCGAAGAGTGCACTTGCGTCGACGATGGCTTGAACACTGGGACGGCTGTTCAAACCGGTCGTGGTCCAAGCACCGTTTATTGGGGCACCTGCAGCTTCTTGCCTGTTTGCGAGGAATTTGGATTATTAGCAACAGGGGCAGCATGAAATACCCGATCGCTCAGCAAAAGTATGAGATATAACACACACATATTAAAATAACAAATAGGCTACAAAAGTGCTACAATGGTTCACATCTAACATGCGATCTGTTGACAGCAGACCAGCGCAATATTATATTTTTAGTAGACCGTTCGCTGCGAATTACAGACCCAGCGTGTGCGTGCCCAAACTATGCTTCAAAGTGACGGAACGAGCTCCCGCCATCAACGCGAAAGTCTGTACAACCGAATGAATGTCTCCATTAAGGCCGGTTCTCACACGCAGCGAAGCGCTGAAGTAGAGCTGCTCACGTGTCGTGAGCTGCTTTTCGTCTGCCATGAGCAACAGTTTTGACGGTGCGATACACAGCTGGTGAAAGCTCCCGTCAGCACGCGTTTAGCGCTAGGTCAGCGCTATGCTTGTAGCTCTCAGCTGCATATGTAAAGAGGCCTTTATGGTAAAACGATCCTGCCAGGGTCTGCAAAACACAAAAAATAAGCGATCGGTAGAACTGGAGTTTTGCTCGATACGATTGAATATCAGGTCTCTGTGCTGCGTAACAAAATAAGCAACCATAGTGCCAAAAAGAATAGAGCATGGCGCGTGCTTTGGAAGCTAGAGACCGCGCTCAAACTAAAACACTTTCTGACGCCGAAGTTAGTGAATATACCATAAACAGAAGTACTTTGACATACCTTAATCGAGTTCCCTTGTCTTGTGACTTCAGAACAGATCAAGTGCAGCGTTGCAGCACCGCGATTCCAAACCGGATTTCACAATGATCGGAGACGACCAGCTTCTAAGTCCTGACGAAGGCTATACTAAAACAGGTTCTTTTCAAACAAAGACCCCTTCCCTATTGCCCGACGGACCCTCTCTGGCCCATCTGCCCTGCCCCCTGCGGGAGCGAGGAATGCGGGGGAGGGGGTTGCTGGGAAGGGGAAGGGAAATCTCTTTTCCCCGAAAATCTCTCTTCCCCCTTTCACTACACACGACACACGTGACACGACACCAATGCCCGAAGGACGGGAGAAGGTCGAAGGTTCGCCTTCTCCAGGGATTATGTTCGCCATTTTCAACACGCCGGTCAAGTGACGTAGAAGCAAGCACGCTTTTCTTTTTTTGTTTTCTCTCCCTCTCTCTCTCTCTTCAATTTTCTCGGGGGCCTTTTTTTTCGCATTTGTTTTGTATTAGCAGGGTGTTGTCATGAATGACGTCCGGGCGCGGTTCGTTCTCCGTTGTTCATCTGGAATGTTATGTGAAACATCGACGACGATGGCATGAAGGCGTCTGGATACTGCCCCTGAATGTGCTGTTTAAGTGGAACGTGCCGTGCATCAAGTGTGTCAGTGCGGATTTTGAGTTCAACATTGGACTACCAAGAAAGGTTAGCTACGGGGAGACGCAGAGACGAGGCCCGACCTGTTCTTAGTAACTCAGTTTTAGCGAGTGAAGTGACCATTTATTCTGACTGCGAGACTCCGGTGTTGAAAGCGCGTCTTCTACGAACTCTTAAGTTTCATTTAAGAAAAAAAAAGTGCTAGTATTCGGAGGTGTTGCGTTTGGATTAATGCTCATTTTTTTTGCGCGAAGGCAAGTTAAGTGAATGGGACTTGTGAAATGTCAAGAGATTATTTTTGACGAGATGGTTGGGTGAAGTAGAGTCAACACTTTCGTTAACTCGCATTCGAACTACGCGCGAAGCTCTACCATGTAATGTCTGAACGTTCGTGGCACATTAAACAAATTCGCTAGTTTCGTCCGAGTTTTGTCATCACTTTCAGCCGTGCTGGGCAGAGTCTCGCCGATCCCCAAGACGAGCGAAATATGATTCGTCCTCCTGGCGAACATTCCGTTTGCCTTCGGGGACTAAATCCTACAGATGCACCCTGTCTGAGGGGAACTAATGGATGCTTTTGCTCGCGCAGGCCTATCGGTTAGTTCCAGTCGAGCGCTGTTAGTCCCCAGCTTTTGCGCGCGGTACCTAGCTTGAACCAGATGGTCCTTACGGGGAGCAACTGGAAGTTCAGAGGACCAAATGCTGCCGTTAGTCCCTTGAGGCCAACTTTTTTCTTAGAGTGTACGTTCAATAGTTCCGACTTTATGTTTTTTTCAACCAATTTAATAATGGGTTTTTATGAATAAGGATGCCCTCTTTTACATGATTGGGTGCAAAGAGATTCCACCGAGTGTCACATGCGCTATACAATAAATGTTTTACATTCACGTGCACGATGTATGAGCGTGAGAATAATATATTTGTTTGTTTCCTGAATAACGATGTCAAGAAAAAAGCGTTGCTTTCCTTGGTCATTGCGTATTGCCCGTTCAGTCAGGCAATGTCAGAATAAACGCTAACAGCTCACATATTCACGTAGCTGATTCAGTAAGAATCAAAATATTATTTACAATTTTGTTACTCTTAAATAGTTTTACAGAAAATAATGATTTTGAAATGTAAAATAACAGCGGAGTCATCGGACAAAATCAAGTTTGACAATACTCTCTAGCATGTCGACATCACAACGCAAATTAGTGTTAGCGCGAGGCTGCGAGGCAAAGCGGAAACGAAAAGTAATAGCTCCTGGCACAAAAAAGCCTCCTTAAAGGAAATGAAAACAAATTACGTAAAGTCCAGTTACAATCTTTGACTTATCCTGACCTGAACACCGATGGTGAAAAAGAAATGCACGATACGTATACTTATTTTCCCCCTTTATAAAACAAATTTCATATTTTACCGAAACAATCTGCCGCAGGTCATACACTATTAATTTGTTATAACACCGGGTCGACACGTTGGCCATAGCACTGAGGTGCTGAGTGTACGAAAGGCATATATCAGGGCTTCAATTCTGAATGTATGTTAAAAATATGCCTTAAGTGTACGTGCGTTTTATAAAAATCCTAATCACAATACGTTTAGTGTATTGCTCCGTGTTACGACCAACAATTCCGACATCTACTGCCCGTTCTATTCAATTTACATAGTGAGTTATTGTTCCCCATCGGCCGATTGTCAGAACCGACTGGACGAAGTGATGTCGGCACCCTATAGACATAGAATATGTCAGTCAATATTATTCTCGTTCATTCTTATCTTGTCCGGACTTTGCATTATAACAAGATTTAGCAATACCGTTTTCCTTTCCTTGTATGCTTTCTAATATTTGCATTGTTAGCACACATCTTCATGACCACGCCATTACTCGCAAACACAACTCTTCGTCTTCATTTGTTCAATTTTTGGCCCTCAGTTCTGCTTTATGAACAGAGCCAGCCGAGAAAAGTGTCGGCAAAAGTAAATACGCGAAACACTCCGGAGATAGTTTTATTGCAGTTCATTTAATTCCAATTAGAATCTTATTCATTATACCAACCGCTGATGAAATACACGACCTACAACTAAGTGTAAACACTGAACTTGAAGTTTTTATATACAGGAAAGTGCAATAGTTTGCTACAATCTGATAATACCAGATTATTCATACACAACCGAATTTTTTTATTTTTTTTTTACAATTCCGTTAACTTTTGTACAGTTTATTCACATGTTTCATACCTAGGCAATGGGTAAGACCCCGTCAATGATTTTAATGGAAAAGTTCAGTACAGTAGTTCACTCAGATAGGACAGAGCTGATTTAAAAATGAGATTCTCACGCCTCGATTTCAAAACGTCAGAGCGTCTATTGCAACGAAAATATATTTATGAGATAAGAAAGCAAAAATATCGCTGGTATTCATTAAGATGTAGCGTTTAATAAGAATATTAACTTAAATGTCAATTATAGACACTTGAAATGCTCTTTAGTAGACTCCGTTCTCAAGAACTGTGTAGATGTGGGTCCTGATATTTTTAACTGTACTACTCCTGTCATACGGTGGGTGAAAGTTTTGGTCTCGTGTGCATAAAAAACTGGCATTTTCTTATGGTTTTTCATAACACGTCTTCCTCCCGTCAAGTTTGCGTAAAACTTGACTGTAGTGTACACCTCCCCCCCGAACCCCAAGGTGTGGCGTTATTTCAGCTAAATATTTACTTTATAATTATAAAGACATCATGCAATTTTGTATTACAAAAATTCTTAGAAAACTTTCGCCGCCACCTCGTCACGCAATTTTCTTAAGTGGTGACCTTTCATAAATTTCTGCTAGTGGACATAAGTCAGTAAAAGGCCCTACCTGAGAGCGTTTCTTTATTATAATGCTAAACGTGCAGGAATCATAACCCTCCTTTTCCCCAACTTCATAACTGTACCACCGTGTGTCTCACATTGTGGTTATGTTGATGTATTAACCGTTCCATTTCATACATGTCCACTCTTTTGTATAATGCCCTGAATAATGCCAAGAAAAATGAATTATTATCATTATGAATATAAAAAGCATACGGGCGAACAAGCTATCAACCAAAAAAAGTAAAAGCCGTTTACAACTCCCTGTAACACCGAATTAGAGCGCAGCTCTTGAGGAGGAGGGAAGGGTACTGGGGGGGGGGGGGGTGAAGTGACCTGGGGGAGGGGTCACGTGACCCTGGGGGATGGGTCACGTGACCTCTGGGGGTCACGTGACCTTGGGGTGACCTTGGGGGTCACGTGACGATGCCGATAATGTCATCAGTGACGTCACTCATAACATCATCAGTGACGATGACGATGCGGACTCCGATGACGTCATCTGCGATGATGACGATGACGATGCGGATGCCAGTGACGTCATCAGTGACGTCACTGATGACGTCATCCGTGATGATGACGATGACGATGCGAATGCCGGTGACGTCATCAGTGACGATGACGTCATCAGGGAGGTGACGTGACTCGGCGGGGGGGTTACGTGACCCTGGGGGTGGTCACGTGAAATCGGGGCGGGGGGTGTCACGTGACTTTGGGTGTCACGTGACCTTGGGGAGGGGTGACGTGACCCTGGGGGAGGGGTCACGTGACCTCTGTGGGTCACGTGACCTTGGGTTGACCTTGGGGTCACGTGACCTTTGGGGTGACCTTGGGGTGACCTTGGTTACGCCGACGCCGACGCCGACGCCGACTCCGCTCAAGCCGGGCACGGGCCCCTAAGAGCTGCGCTCTAAAACGATAGTCAAGGTCATAACCTGAACCACGTGTTAGGTGCGTCAAAAACCTTCCTGGTGATCTGATGGGAGTGTTTCATTTGTTTCCAGATGGGAGTTCTCAATGAGAAGTTACGCATTGCTCCTTTGCCTTTGATGGCTCGATCTGAGGAGGGACATCTTGCACACAGGATCTACGAGGTGGAGCCTTCTATGAATCACGGAGAAAATGACCCTGGTATGATTACATCCTCAATAAATTTGCATTTCAGAATAATCGAAATAATAACTTTTGCTAGGACTACCTAAAATCACTTCCTTTAGTGGCTTAAAAATTGGGTTGCAGGCATGTTTATACATCCTAGAACTTGGTCTTCCTCAAAGGGCGATGGGTCTCCCAGCTGTAGATGAGAAATTTAGCTAGTGCAGTACAAGCGCTAGTCTGAGGTCTTTGACGTGCATCACGCAGTAGTGATACCCGACCGCACGCCGGCACGGTGATCCTCCAGATTGAAGCGGCCAGGGGTGAAAATTGAACCCAGGATCATGGGTTCTGCAGTGTGAGTTTTCGCCCCACGGGCTCTGAGCTGGTCACGTGGCATGCCAATTTGCAATCCCCATCACACTCTACTCCTTACCCTCGCCGTCCCTCTCGTTCTATTCCTTCACCCTCCTACAGTGTCTCCTCTTTCCTTCCGCATCTGTTTCCCTTTCCCTCATTCTCCCCCTTCCCTTCCCCCTTCCCATTCCTCCCGCCTTACAGTGCTCTCTCTCCCACTGCCTTCCCTCTCTCTCCCACATTTTTCGCTTGTCGCATTACACACCAATCCAGTTTCCCCGAAAACTGAGAGAAACAAAAAGAACAGATTCTTTACTCCCGGAGCGACTGCTTAATGTTTAGGCAGAATTGAAACGATCACTGCTAATTACTGCATTTCATGTAATGTAGAACTGTGTAAAAAAAGGTCGCCGCGAACTTTTATTTCTACATACTACCGGCAGCCAAGGGGCTTCAACATTACTAACACAAATATGTAGTACCACTGTACCCATATTTGGTGCACAACACTACACTCTTAAAATAAACAGAAGGCTGGACAACGATTGAAAAAAGAAGGTCATTATCAGATGACAAAACTTCACGCACAATGAGACAAGTACAGAAGAGGACGGAACACAGAACAGAGACAAGCGCGCACTCATAACTCTGTTATATAAGGTGAAGAAAGAAAAGAAGAAGCAAGATTCTTCATGTTCAACCCTTACCAACTCACCAAGCTAACCACTTTACTATAGTTCATGATCACATATTATAAAAAAAGCATCACATAATAGAAGAAAAAACGAGGTAAATGATAACTTGAGTAAACCTGAAATATAAAAATTCTGGCAAATGATTTAGTCAGTATGTATTCAATGGGCAGGAAAATAAGAACACGCCATCTGAAACGGCATTTCATCCGAGGATATAGTTTCTTAGTTCTACGCGAGCGCGTTTGTGAAGTTAAATAAAATAGAAATAATAAGCATAGGGACGGACAGAATAGCACATCTTTCGAATATGTGCAAAAAAAATAGTTCTAAAAATTTCTGCAGCACATAATGTCACAGAATAATTCAAGTTTGTTTCTTGTCACTCTGGTTGTATTAAAATTGAAGTAGTTCTAATAAACAAACATAGTTATCATTTGTCAAGATTAAAAAGAAAGTTCAGTTGATTAGTTATTTAGGTTTCTCCAAGAACGTTTGTCCGGTCTGGATATAAAGTTCTGAAGTATACATAGTCCTGTCATATGTGTTCAAAATAAATCCTAAGGCTAACATCTGAATTATTTCTAACCGATTAATATTACACTTAGTATGCGGGCCAGGTCTAAATGCGCGCTGAGATGCATGTGTAACCCGACCTTTTTGCAGTATCATGAAGTTACATACAATGCAGTGTAATGCAGTTTACACATACAAAACAAAGTGACTATGAAAACATTTTTTTATTAGATCAGCAAGTTCTAACATTTTGACAAAACATTTTCGTCTTCAGTTTATCAATAAACATAATTTTGAAGAAATAAATAATTTTAGTTAAAAATTTGTCTGTAATGTGGATCATAACAGTCAGAATTTAATTTCGTTTGATTGGTAGTTTTTATGTAATAGTAACAGCTTCGCCAAGTATATATTAGCAAACATTTCTCGATTTTATGGTGATACATTTTTATTATACTTTATATTTTAGTTTTTCCAAATTCACTACATGCAGAACATGCTCACATCAAGAGCCGAACAGGTAAGCAGTAGTTTACTTTTCATCTCCATTGATTTGTGAGATTCGTAGATCTATGGAACATATTCTGTCACTGATTACAAAACGTTTTTGTGGCAGCATCGTTATTGCAATAACCAAAACATACCTTTTGCCTTCCGGAAAACAGCTCTGCTCTAAACTCTCCTGTACGTGGGTCTGAACAAAATATAGAAAGCTGAGGTTATGTTATTCGGAAACCTCCAAAATTCTTTTAATATACCGCACGACTGGAGGTGATACCTAGATATAACCCTCAAAAGTTAAAACCTGAAAGAATTAAAAAAAAAGAAGAAAACTTTCAGAAACTTTAATGTGAATATTCTACGCTCCGCAGTGACGCAAATAAAGTTTGACGTTCTTTTTGCTTTTTGTTTTCTTCTGCTCTCCTTCGAATTCCGAAAGTGTTGTTTTTTTTATCCCTCTCCTCCCCTCGTCCATCACGCGCTCGCGCTCGAATTTCGCTCCGCGCTCAGCGACGGCCATTAGTCGTAAGCAGACGACGCGTCAGTTGCCGGTTTTTATATATTGGTGATCCTCAGTTTCGCGTAGGCGTTTCAAACTGTGTGAAAAGCGGTGCAGTTGTAGACGAAATGCATCGAACTTTGATGAACGACGTCACTGGCGATGTTGGGTCGGTGCAGGATCAAAAACTCTTCCAGCACTTGCTACACAAGCCTTCAAAAAATAAAACGAAGAAGAAAGCTTGGCTGGAGGCGATTCTTGAGAGTCAAATCCAGGATTCAGGCTCGTATCGTTTCGTCTGCTGCCGCCACCTCATCGATGACGATTACGAGACAAATTGGAACGTTGCTAGGGTGTAGGCATATTGAACCCTTTCTTGTTTGAAGCGTGGGGTCGTTCCGACGAAGTTTCCAATCCAAGGCCCATCAGGTGAAGCAAAACGGTCAAGATTAAAGCAATTGGTTCAATTAAAAGTAAGTCACGCATTGTTTTGCAGTCCTGGCGCTGCATGCGAATCCGCTGCCGCCCAATCTGCATAGAGCATTTGCCCTTGTACGGTGTAAAGCTGCTCAACACAGCTCATCGGCACCGCTGTACGCAGGAAAAGACTTAAAATAAATACATAAGTGACGGTCGCTGTCTTCTAACTTTGACAGCTTTGAAATGGCGGACCAACTACAGGCTGTATAAATATCCACACAACCCCAATTATTATTTCTTTTATCTGCTCGGATCATGCAACGCGATCTTACCAGTCTGTGTTGTCGAGGACCCACACATCTGATGTAGGTGAAAGTACCGACGAGTCGGCGACGTCCGCATCGGCATATTCCTTCTTTCGATCAGGCGACTCGAACTGCACCAGACCCGGCCTCCGCGAACGATCAACTAATTCCTTCCCGAAGTCAGAAAGGTTTGCTGGTACTCAAAAAGCCACGTGATCTTCCGATCTGTCCCTAACATCGCCCTCGCTTGCGGCACAACCAACGTGCGTCGCCATTTTCAAAGACCATACCAAAGATGGCAATGAGACGACGTCGACGCGTTGACGTCTTGAAGAAGACGCGTCCGGAATTTCATTTACACATTTTGAATCCAGCGTCGTCGTGCGCAAGCCACGTTTGTACAAAACATATATTATGCACAACATTTTAAATGTCGAAAAACATAATTTTCGCGAACTAGAACAATTTCTGCATATTCACCCATCGATGACTTCGCTGCTGGTGATCAGAAAAACGATCGTAAGGAGGTGTCCGGTAGGAGAGGAGGGCACCTTTTTTTTTTTTTTTTTTTTAAGCGCGTTCGAGTGGTGATCTTTTTTTGCGCGTTGCAAATTTTTCCTTTGTTACTGACATCATTTTTAAGTGTTTAAGACAAAAAAAAAACGATTTGGTGGTGTCAGTGTTTTTTAATGTATGTGTCGCCGAAGCCATCTTAATTGAAAGGACAGGGGGTTGTGAGGACATTGTATGTCGTGCAGTTATACCGTTACCTGCAGAACTCAACCAGTTGCGAACGCTTGTTGTTGTTAGCCACCAACACCCTCACATCTGGTAATGCCTCGTTTTTATATCCTCCAATCTGTCAAATTTTCGCAATAACTTCCTCTATATCACTCATGTTTTTTAGCGTGTTATTTTTTTCAAGCGAAAGCACTAACTGTTCTGTGAAGCGTAGCCGGCGTTGTATACAAACACGAAAAAGGCAGCTTTCAATGAGTGACTGTAATGGCACCTAAATGCCCATTGGGTGAGCAAAACGGTGACTCAATGCAAGTCATCATGCAAGCGAGTTTAAAAATAAAACTTAAAGAGAAGCACAGCAACGCAAATGTTTTGTCACGGAAGCCGAAAGGGGCGCTCAATGTCAAAGCGGACGCACCTAAGAAATAAAGCACAAAGAACGGCACAGCAACGCAGATGCATTGTCCTGGAAGGCGTGGAGACGGCGAAGTTCGCCGCGCATGCGCAGTGCCTGATGTCACCATCGGAGCTCCGTGTGCGAAAGGAAGACGTTGTGCGCTGCTTGTAGGAAGGCGCTGCGTGTACAAATGCCTTTCAAATTCTTGCATGTAAACAATCTAAAGGGCTTCTGCCGAGTCTTTAATTTTGTAAAAAGAAAATCAATACTTATTTTACAAATAAGGGAGGAATGCATTTGACGTGCAGAGCAACGATGCGTATATTTAACTTCATTAAATTAGCTTAATCTTCGTTGTTTCAAAAACTCTCGATGCAATCCTAGCTAAGCATTAAAATTATGTCTTAATGCCACATTATAAAAAAAAATTGTCTTCAACTTTTTGTTCTTAAACCTAGCTTTTTGGATATTCAGAGTCATTAGATAAACACCCATTCGCAGCGTCAATTGCAAATCACGAGGGTTAATTAATTTCAACCCGATCTATTCCCAGCGAGACAATATTTTAGCCAATAAGATTATGACGGTGTCGCACTCAACTCGGGGCTTGCTGGAACATGGCGCGCGAGATTCGTTGTGCGCATAGCTCTCCTCGGCCATTCCATTTGTCGGGAGAGACTGAGATAGAGTAAATAATTGGCTGGATGATGTTTCGGGAACGCGGTGGCGGTGGTACACGACCGCAATCACCATCATCGAGCTTGCTTGGCTAGCTTCCCGGGTAAAAATATGCTTGTTTGCCAGAAATTACGTTATTTGTTCCACACCACAACAAACATTACTGTTTAGGAAGCCGGAAAAGGACGCCGACAAGGACACTGAAGGAAGCTGGCTCGCTATCGTACTTTGAAATGCGGACATGCGATCACCGATCATATTCATTGCATTTAGACATCCCCGATTAAACATCCGCGTATTCCTATCCTCAGATATGGTGGAGGTCGCTTAACGGTCCCCGTCCTCTTATCTGGATTCATTTTCGTCTTCACGGGGCTCCACAGCGGCCGCTCGACCCTCACCCATATGCCCGACGAAACCAGAGAGGCAGCCGCCACTGAAGAACGTTCCCTCGTCAAGAACCGGCAAAGGGATCCCCACGACTTCGCAGGTACTCGTAATGCCGACGTTCATGACTGGCTGAAAACCGTCGACCGAGTAAGCGAGCACAACCGCTGGCACGACACCTTAAAACTAACCAACGTTGCGTTTTGCCTTAAGGGCTCCGCTCCCAGTGGTTTGACAACCACGAAGGTTAAATTAATTTATGGGACTCGTTTAAAGCCGCCTTCTTAGAAGTTTTTGGCACCCCTGAACGCCACCGGCAACAAGCTCGCGACATGCTGTCGCGCATACACCAAGCCTCTACTGAATCCTCCATATCATACATCGAGGAAGTCCTTCGCCTTTGCGGTCGTGTCGATTCAAATGTGCTGGAGGAAGACAAAATCCGCCACCTCTTTAAAGGCTTGTCTCAAGAACTGTTTTCCGTCGTGGCACCTAAGACTCCTCCGACTGTTCAGCAGCTCATATCCTAGTGCAAACACTATGAGGATCTTCAGAGTGGACGAATCCTAAAGGCACCCTTTGCACGCCTCCCAGAAGTTCCAAGTCCCACTTCTGCCACAGACCTTCCGAAGCTGAATTGCGCCATCATCCGCGAAGAACTACGTGAGTTTTTATCCTCACTGCCTGGTTCAAAACCGTCTGCCGACTCGTTCGCCGAGCCCGACTTGGCGCCCGCGCCTAACATACAACAGATCATGAAGGACGAGGTTCGATCCGCACTCCATCGCGAGTCGTCTGCACATACGCGTGCACATACGCGTACACATACGCCTCAACAGCCGCTTCGCCGCAACCTGTCTGTGCTCTCTAGCATGTTGCGCCATAATGTGCTCCCATGCAACCACAAATATGATGCAGACGCCTCCCTTACCCTATGTACAACCACGAAGAACAGAATTGTGGAGAACGACAGACCGCCGACCAGTTTACTTCTACTATCATAACCCCGGTCATGTCATCCGCTACTGTCACCGCCACATCGACTCCGAAACTAACGGTCGTTCCCCAGCCAACAATTTTAGGTACTCTGACCACACTGATGCCAATCGAAACGTCGATGACCCCCCCTCAGACCCTCCTTTGGTTTCTAGCCGCGACGAGGTGGATCACCTTCTCCTTAGCCAGGACTTCAGCGCTCCGTCTTTCTTTTTTTCTTTTTTCTTTCTTTATTTCCTTTCTTTCCGGATTGACCGGGAGGTGGGCAGAGACTAAAGGCGTGATGCCTGACGAGGTCTCTGTCCCCTTTACAGTTCTAACACAGCAGTGCAGGGTACATAGATTTTTGAACACGAAAATTAGAGAAAAGAACCTGTAAAATTCTATACAACTCAGAAACAATAAACAACAGGATCGATCAATTATCCCACGATAATTTTTTTTTCCAGCAAAGAATTATTAAAACAAAATTGGTCAGAAACATGTTTTAACAATTCAAAAGTGAAGTATGGACATGATTTCATAAGTACACAGTACACACATATCAGAACACAATGTTACTGCCCACCAGAAGTGTCTTTAGTCTTTTTTTGAATTGAAGTATATTGCAGTTAAAATCTATTAGATATTCCGTATTATTCAAGATTTTGGCGATTTGGAAGCATGTCGTTTGTTTTCCGTAATTGGTACGTATTTTTGGAGGTCGTCTGATTCTCTGTCTGAGTGTGTGATAAGTTGTGTTTTCTGGCGGAATTGCGAAGAGTTTTTTTGTGTGTATTATCTGTAGCAATTTAAAATAATAAATTTGATTCACTTTACCCCTATGAAAATGGTTAATGCCATTTGAAAGTCATATTATTGCCAAATGGCAACAGCTGTTTACAAATAGTCAATCAGCAGGCAACAGATGTTAATCGTCATTGAGACGTCACCCTGCTGACCCGGATAGCCATTTCGCCACCGTCAACTTTTTGCCGTTCTATTGGTTATTGTCGGTGTATCATCAGTGTATCTACATGTTAACGTTAAATGGCTAAAGGAGGCAATCAAAGGACTATACATTTTATAGTCTTTTGACTGCCTCCAATAGCCAATTAGCATTAGCACGTAGATACACTGGCAATGCACCGACAATAACCAATAGAACGGCAAAAAGTTGACGGTGGCGAAATGGCTATCCGGGTCAACAAGATGACATCTCAATGACGATTAACATCTGTTGCCTGTTGATTGACTGCTCTTAAACACCTGTTGCCATTTGGCAATAATACAAAATGGCATCAACCATTTTTATAAGGGCATAATTATCACATAGATGTCATTTGATCGAATTTCGTGACCATTTCGCCATTGTCAACCCCTCGTAAACTTTAAGCTGGCCAGCCGAAAAACTGCAATAGTTTACATGGCCTACCATTGATTCCATGCCTGATACACATAGTGCCGGCTTGCAATATGGGAAGAAAACAAAGATTGAAGGACAATTTAAAGACCCAAAATTTATTTATCACAATGTCATAAAAATGACGTGTTTTTTTTCAAGACTAAGTTAATCACCCAAATGTAAACGATGAGTGAAAAAATAACCTTTCTTTGCTTCCTGACATGTCTGTAAGGTGTCAGCTGAAAGAAGAAAAACATTATAAATTAAGTGGGCATATAGCCAGAAATATTCTTGCAGCACATTCAAAAATATGCACAGAAGAACCTTGCTCACATGTTTTCTCGGCTGTTATGTTCACGGAAACCGGTCCTATCGAACGTCCAAAAGTATATATGTGTTAGAATTACAGGCTTCATGAATTTCCTTCTTGGTTCTTATGCCCAAACACTGCCACTCAAGGTGGCCGGCATGACTACTAGGAACACATACCCTGTTCCTTTTGCTTTACTCCCTTTATTTTACCTCCTTGCCTCTCTGCACTGTGTTTCTTGCTTGGTCCTGTATGACAATAAGAGATTCAGGCTCTCACGACCCTCCATTTTTCTTTACCACCTCCATGCCACCATGTCCAAGCAGCGCTGATTGCATCAAGCCCCACTGCTTTGATGTGGCATGCAGGGTGCAGCGATTTGTTTGAGGCAGCTGTGGTTGAGCTCGATGGGCTACGAATTTTTGCATCCTTATATTTCAATATTTTTTTAACTGCAACTATAGACAACGCATCACTGCGATGGCGCGGCTGTCGGCACAGCACATGTACACACATGTCTGCTCACACGAATCTAGTTCCTGCCTATGCAGTGCCCATAGCTGCTGTGGGCAAACACAAGCTTGTCTGTAAACAGTGTGTTACTTATAGTTCAACCACAATTTTAAGAAGTGTTGAAAAAATTGTCAACATATAAAATAAGGCAATCTTTTTTACAGCCATAAAAGCTAAGGTAAGATAAACAGAGAATACAGCTTCCTGAAACATCTATAGCTATCCCAAGGGCATTATCAGTTGTTACATCTTCGCTCATGTCATGATCCTTTATTGTGACTGCATAAAGATGCAGCAGCAGGGTTCTACTGTATTTCACACAATGTTTGAATGTGCAATAGCTTTAACTTCCACAACACATCAGCCAACCACAGGTTGTCAAAATGTCAACTCCACAATAATGTAATAAGTATGAATACAATAATAATCCCTGGAAAAGGGGTACAAGGGGGAGAAAGGTCAAAGAGGAATCTCCTTTGTCCGCTTGTTCCCCATTTTATTTGATGTGATTATTATCGTCATTCTTGTCTCGAATGAAAGGGTCTACTCGTGTCTCTTAATTAAGAGAGGGAAGCAGCTTACCTGGAAGAGCATAGCGCCCCCGGGACAGAAATCGAGAGAGGCTGTCCTCGACTTGCTTCCCCACATTGCTGTACTCCGTGAAGGTGCGAGCTGAAAGAGCAAATCAGAATTGCAATTTAAAATGATAATAGCCCCTAGAAAGCTACACTCAAGTATTGGTACCCTTTTCCTCATTGTCCAGTTCTGCCAAAACGGTCATTCATCCATTTGGATGGTGAAATTCGTTCATGCGCATGCAGCTTGGGGGCACTGCCATGTTGTTATTGCGTCATTACTTGAATTTAATGTAAATATTCACTTCACCTTAGACAAAGATTTATCTATTACTTTTGATAAGATCTTTGGATGCTTGGCAATTTTAACAGCAGCCTGGGGGGCGCACTCATAGATGCACCACTCTTCAATCAGTTTGGGGAGTGCGTCTTTAAACGCTCACTCTTTTTATCGTACGGGAGGAAGCACCATCTATCCCCTAACATCGGAAATAATTTTCCTTTAGAAATTAAAGCTATGATGGTAGCACAAGAAAAGTTTCGTACAAAAAAATATAGGCAAAATAGGGACAAAAAAATTTTTTTTTGGTCATGGGTCCCCAGTCAAGAGGTCAAGAAATAGATTAATCTTGTGTGTTAACATTTTTTCCAAAGCAAAAACATGACAGGACTATGTTATCAAGGGTATAGCTCTTTTTACTGTAGTCATAATGAGGTGGCATAGCCTTTGTCATTTGCCCAATAATGCTCAACAAACACAAAACTAAAACAAAAATTCTCGCAGATCAAGAGCCATTACTACATGCAGTGCAAGTTTTGAGGGTAAACATTTTGGCAGAGGCCTGCCTGGTCGGGAGAAAGCTTAAAAACTCAAAAACATCCGTCCCCACACCCGCATCTGTGTTCCCTACATAAAGGGGACTAGCGAAGCGCTGTCATGTATGCTGGTAAAAGAAAGTATTCAGGTGTCCCACAAACCGGTATCAACACTTTGACGTATGATGCTGCGAATTAAAGGTCATCCCTCTAAACAAAGAGCGCAGGGCCTTGTATATTCAATTCCATGCCACCTACATTGGAAAAACAAAGAACTTCCCAGAAAGAATTCAACAACACAAAAACAACTGCAAATTCGACCACGAGCGCAGCGCTGTTGCAGAGCACTGTGAGGACAATGAATATCGCATCAACTTTGCCAACACCATCATAAATGTTGAGACAAACTTCTGCCAGCAGCTTTTTATAGTCATGGCATATCCAAACAACACCAGGAAACATCAATAGGTCCACTGGCACATTGCCATCATGCTACATGAACGGACTCAGCCACCTAACAAAGTGAAAAAAAAGAGACTATCGTAGAAGAAAACGAAGCTGTTGTCCCCTATTTGGAAGCAGTCACCCCTGAAGAAAAAAACAAGCTGTTTTTGAAACGTTGGGACCTTGTTGTAGGATGTGGTTGGTGATTTTTTTCAAATTCCAATGTATGAGTTTTGCATTTGTTTGAGTCATCATTCACTTTTTTACCATATTTACCCGCATAATGAACACACCTCTTTATTCTGAAATTGACATATATTTCGGGGGTGCGTTCATTATGCAGGGTAAATTTCTGCATTTACACACTTTGCGAAAATGTAATTTTAGGTGTCAGTATGACACGGCAAAGTACTGTGGCATGTCTCCACTGACGGAGGCGCATTGACGGCTGGTCGTGGGCGCGCTACAATAACCATGTTCTACAATTTGAAAACCTTTTTTTAGGGTGCTTTCGGTGTGCCTTCTGTCAAAGGAAAAGCGTTCTCCTAGTGAATAGTAAAAAAATCTTGCATGTAAGAAATTTAGGTGTTCAATAAAAGCATATGACCACATAAGATCATATAAAAACCTTATAAAAACGTTTAAGAACAATATAGGAAATATATAAGATTATATAAGAAGTTTTAAGAAACTGAAAAGAAGTTTCTTATAACTTCAAATATAATTTTATATTGTTCTTATATGTTTTTATAAGGTTCTTGTATTTTCTTATATGATCTTATTGGATCATACGCGTTTGTTTGACATAAAATTTTTTTATACATTTAAGATTTTTTTACTAGGGAAGCTCACTCAGCATGGTGAGTGACGCGACCGTCCTTAGGCCTAACCACTTTCACGATTTCACTGTCCGAAAGCACACTACAGATGACCGCGTGATTCACTATGCGACTCATCGTTGACATCGATGCATTCGGTGGGCGAAACATGTCCAAAGCTGGGCAATTCCTCGACCCCAGCTTTGTTACGTGTATGCGCCGCTCGGTTTCACTCTTGATCACATCCGCAACTACACACTTGCAGCCATGAAAGCATGTACTGCTATGCTTTGCCTGGTTTGAAGTGGCCTGGCCGCTTGGCGGCGAAAGAAAATTGGCTTGATGGCTAGCCGAGTTGGACGTAGTTTGAGAGTCATGGAGCGAGTAGACACGGTAAATAAAAACATACTAAAAACTTCTCAGGCGTTCCTCAAGCTTTGAGTACTGTGACCTATTTAAAGCTTGAGTAATTAACATTCACCTCTAAGCTGACTGTGGTGGTAACTACGCACCCACCGAATCAATCAACCACCTTCTTCTCGTTCCTGACCCCGCCTTCTGCACATGGTTATGGGCGGGAGTGTAACACATGGCGAAAGGTAGACATATGACTGGTCCAACGAGCATGTAGCTTCTACTACGATTTCAGCTGGTCATTCAACAGAGTATAGTGATGCAGCACAAAAACATTTGTGCCATTTCAGAATGTCTGAAGGAGAACACACCCTCAAACATCCTGAAACTGTAAAGAGTTTCGTGCAAAGCCGCTCGATTTGATTGGCCAAGCAGTAAATAAAAGGTACACTCACCAAAGCACTGTGTCGCCCATGATAAGCCTGCAACTCCCTTCAATAATTGGGAAACAACCAAAAAGCCACAGGAATGTAACACTGGATCCTGAAACAGAAAAAAAACAGCAAAATGCAGGAATTAACACAATATACAAACAGCTTCGGCGAGTGACACTTAAAACTAGCTACAGTTCTTTGGGCACAGTCTTTTTATTACAGATAATTGTGAGTCCATTATTTTTCTAGCCCTGTAAACCTTTCCCATTCGAAGGTCTCCGACGTCGGTTTCGCAAACTTCATAAAATCTGCCATTGCTCCATTATCAAGTTCTAGAGCAAGTGACAAGTTAAAATTTCAATGGTGGAGGCTCACAGACATTAAGCACCTGTTTCAAGCCCCTCGGCTGTCGAGAAAACACTATGTCAACCGCTCCGAAACATAGGTTTTGTGCAGAAGGGAGATTGAAGTATGCTACTGATTCAGTAGAACTACATCATATTCATCAACCATTGTTAGCCGATTCACTATGCGACTCATCGTGAAAACGAGACTTGGACTTGGCCAGGGAAATATGTTTTACAGAGAAATGTTTACCGATTTGACGGACGCTGTCATTTTATTAAGCAGCCTTATATATTTGCTCTTTATGAAGCAGATGAAGAGGAGCAAAACACAAATAGTGCTATGGACAACGGCAAGTTGAAGAAGTGATAGGACAAGCGCTACTTGTGGTTCTTCAACTTGTCCTCGTACTGCCATTTGTGTATCACTATTGTTTGAGCAACTTGTCAAGCGGTTCAATTTAGTACCCGTGAAGCGGCTTGTCAGTGGCCTTGTCACTAAAGCAGGGAACATGCAGCCAACAAATCACTTTGATGGTGATGACCACAACATTTTCATGTCATCTCAGAAAAATCGCCCCCGCCCCCCCTCCAAAAAAAAGCTGATCCTGCACTTATGTTGCAGAATGTGTGCATCGTCTGACGGCAGAGACTGGAGGGTCACACTGCAGTTCTCTTCGTGCGTTACACTCCCAGTTTCAATGCGGTGACCAATAAATGTTTCGGTGATGCAAAAAAATAGAAAGAAAAAAAAAGACATTGCTCTGAATATTTTGTTGTTCCCCTTATTTAACTTATCAAAACAAATTTCCCGTTTATTGGACCTTAAGATAAACGTGACACGCCGACCTATTAAGGATAACAGCAGTCCAGTCCTCGTCAAATTAACTGAGGGCAATAAAAAGAGAAACGAGGAGGTCATGCAATAATTCTATAGGGGAGTGGCAACGGTCCCAGGAAGATATGCTTCAGTTTGTGCAGTATCATTGATTTCCTCATTAGACAAGTGTCATCAGCTTTGGCCACTGCTCATGCATTACATTTTAGAGTGAAGCACACTGTACAATGGCATGTTTACTCCATGACATGCCAACCTTTTGCTGGGTTCCCAATTATCCTGAATAACACAAAAATTTGCAAACAAAAGAAGCAGTTAGATCAATAGGTCACAAAAATCTATGTGAAACGAGCAGTCTAGATCAGGGCATGCAGGGTGACTCCATGTGGGGCTGTATAGGAGCTTTACAACCACCCCAATAGCTTGTTAAATGAAACCCAATTATCCTCTGCTAAATGTGTGAGCTACATGGTCTTGGTAGGCAGTTCAAATTCCTCACTTACCCCGCATATAAGTCCTAGAGTTGTATTCACACTGCTTGCGTTTGCTTTGGCCTCCACCCCCCCACCCATTTTCTCCCACACTAGGTGGCAGAAACATTGTTCTTATTCTGCATGTGGCTGATTATTAAAAGCCTTTTGGCTTTTCAATTTAAGTAAATGCACATATTGAAAAGGAGCTTATTGCCTAGTAATCAGGTCTACGAGAAAATTTTGAAGTGTAGAATATATGAAGTTTGCTAGACCTATGGCGGACAATATTTACCCTCCAAATCAAAGCAGCACCAAATGTGTCAGCCATGTGCCCATGACAACTTCAGATGAGACTAATGACAAATGCATAAAGCATATGATAATTACAGAACGACCCGATACTATGACCCAGAAAGTTGAACAAGCTTACGTGAACACGCTTACAAAAAGATATCTAGAATGCCAAAGAATCAATGGAAATAAAAATAGGAAGACTTGACTGATCCTCTATGAAGTCCCGATCTTGGTATCAATAGCATGCATCGATGCTTACAATCATGCTCTGCGGTGTGGCCAGAAAACACACCTGAGTGAAGCTCCCAATCATTATGCTCTTAGGTGGACAAAAGGCTCACTTCAAACAGCTTTCAGCAATAAAAAAAAAGCATGCCAGATACTAACATAACATGGTTTCCCCAAAAATAAAACATATAAATCTCCAACATCTTTAGGGGCTAAGGAAACAACCAAGGACGCACAAAAATGAAGCACCTCATCCCAAAGTGAATGGAACGCCAAGGTGCAACACATCGCTCTCCTAAGTAACTAACACTACTTACAATTTTTGAACACCTTCCTGGTAAACTAAGAGCGGGAATATTAATTATAATTACATGTGGTGCATCGCCTTCAGGATTGCTGGATGATATGAAACTCTGGAAGATCTTCAAGATTAAAGTGAGCAGAAATTTTTTACTTGGCCTGAAAATGTCTCATACTTTGTATCTTGTTCAGAGTTAAGCAATAACACCATAGCTATCTACTAACACATTACGCCTAGAAAGTATCACCTACGTAAGACAAGAATGATTCAGACACTACCTATTGTTAGCGCCATTTTGTAAAAGAGACTTGCACAGTCTGCTCACTTTCCATGTGGCACACCCATGAGTTCTTTCGCCGGGCAGATGTGCCAGACGCATATTAAATCTCTCACACCGGCCTCCATGTCCACAACAAGGCTCTAACATTTCAGAAGTGTGGTCACGTGGCCATGCCCCTCTGCAGATTGACTGCTGCGGTGACATGTAGCTCAACAGCGGTGGACTTCTCCTACTAGAACCTCAACATGGAAGGAACGAATTCCCAAGGGCTACGGCAGAATGTGCGGAACTTGAACTGACCGGCTGTGGCAGCGAACCCTCTCCAAGTCCCAGCCACAATTTCAACAGGGACGACGGGGAGCACAGGCTTTGTCAGTAGCGACGGCACCCCCACGAGCCAAAGTCCGTGGCAGCACCTGCGACAAAGAGCCCTTGCATAATCCCTGTCACCACTCCGGCTGGGATCACAGGGAGCACAAATGATGGCGGTGGAACCACCACGAGCCAGAGCTACATGGCAGCACCTGCAGCAGCGAGGCCCCCACGAGTATACCACTCACCATCTTGAATGGGAACTAGGGGAGCGCAAGCGTTGGGAGGTGACGACAGCGCCACCACCAAAAATGATGTGGCAGCACAAGAACCAGGTTCTGATGACAACAGGCGCTGACATCCAAGTCAACTTGGTGGCTGTTCAACCAAACAGACGTGACGCGTACCTGAGAAGGCAAATAATGTTTTGTAGTGATCGAAGTGGCCAAAACGTTGCCAAGCGAAACTCAGCATTCAACTCTAATGATGAGCCACGCTGTTTCGACTATGATCGACATATGTCCGCGAATCGCTCTAAACCGTAGAACTGTGAAGGCTGCATCAATTTTAATAGACATGGACAATTAATGGACCATTTTTGTGTGCTGGGAACAAACTGCCAGCGAAAACAGTGATGAAAACTCAAGTGAGTTACTCCGACACTGCTAAATAAATAGGACAGCTTACCATCATCTCCTATCGATATCTGCCATTACTGTACCTCGGCACTCTAGGTGATGTCAGTGGTGTCCGTTCAGGGAACTCAAACTAGTAGTTCACTGAGCAACTCCTCCTTGACCAGGCCTGCAGCGATTATGAAAATGAAGAACAGATATATTACATTACATAAATGACACAAGATAGAAAAGGCACAGACAGTACCATACCTTCCAAGTTTGGGGACACCAAATTCGGGATAATTTCTAAGCAGGGGAGGGGGGGGGGGGGGGTGTTTTAAAAAGAAATATTGAGAACAAATTTGCATGAAGACAACTTCATTATATTTATATATTGCACTGTCTATGCTCATGGGATTGCAGCCGTCCACAGTGATGGCAAAAACTCTTCTTTAGTACAAAAGAGAGGGGGAGGGTAATTTCTCTTTTCGGGAGGTTTTTCTGTCAATCATACAAACTGATCAAAATTTAAGAGACTTCTGGGTAATACGGGGAAGTTGGCAGGTGTGCAATACTATACAGACACAATTTGCTACCGGCAATGGCAAAAGAGAATGCAGGTTGGATCAGCTATGCATAAAGGTACAGCTGCAACGGAAAAAGAGTAGCACAAGTGACCGACGACCGGAGCGGCAAAATCGCGACACGCGGCGCTATTGTTCCCGATCGCGCCGATAGCGAGAGTGCCAGTCACGTTCCATGTCTCATTGCGGGGAGTGGCCGGCAAAAAACAGCCCATCCTAAAGCCCTAATTTTAACAGCTATCTTATCTCTCAATTTTCTGCCGGCCACCCCCGCGTTGAGACATGGAACGTGACGGTTCCCGGACATTTCATTGAACGCCGTTTCATCGAAAAAATGGACGTTTCATCGAACGCCCTTTTATCGAACGCCGTTTCAGCGAATCAATGACGGCCGTTTCATCGAATGTCTTTTAAATAAAAAGTTTGAAAGATGTTTTTGTATGCGCGGATCGAGGGCATTTTCGTGTCACTCACCCATTTCATCGTCAGGTTTTTTAATGTCCAAACTTGTAGCTGTTATAATTTATTTTGATGCAAGTAACCCATGAGGATATTTGTACCGACCTTTATGTTTGTTTCGCACATTGTGCTTATATGTTCACCCCCTCTGTATTACCCGATGGGCCTTGAGGGTATTGTAACAAATAAATAAAAAGTCGCACTCCCAGTAAGAGCGCACTCCAACTCATGGAGGCCAGAAGGCGTCTTAGGTTTTGCGCAGGTGCAACAACTTTAGCCATGCGAGCCTCCTAGCCTCTCATGTCTTTCTATTGATGCTTTTTTACTGCCCGAAGCTTGCGGTAGCTAAAGCTGAGGTGCTATTTATAAAACTACAATAAAACATTGTTTTTTGTTTGTTTTTTTCGTTTTACGACTCAATGAAGTCAAAAGTAAGTACGTCATTTCAAATTTTATTTGAAAACTTTCGGGGGCTCATGTGTTCGTGCGACAGCCATTCACCGTTTCAAATGATGAGCAATTGCTCTCAAAAAGTTCCCCACAGCCATGGTCCGTCGGTTCTCATAAAAAAGGCGGACCTTCTCATTCCTTGCCGCTATGGCCATCTTCTGGCGAGGAGGCTCTTGGGAACTCAGCATCGCCTCCAGCTTGTCTTCCGTCAGTTGATGTTCTGTGGCGATGCAAGTCGAAAACTTCCAGAACCTGGGATGGGCACCTCCGACCAGCTTCAGGAAGCGGGAATGCCACCCTGGCGTTCGATAAAACGGCGTTCGATGAAACGGCGTTCGATGAAACGGCTTCGATGAAACGGCTTCGATGAAACGGCTTCGATGAAACGGCGTTCGACGAAACGGCGTTCGATGAAATGTCCGGTCCCAGAACGTGACTGGCACTCTCGCTATCGGCGCGCTCGGGAACAATAGCGCCGCGTGTCGCGATTTTGCCGCTCCGGTCGTCGGTCACTTGTGCTACTCTTTTTCCGAAGCAGCTGTACTTTGAACAACATATACAATATAGAGTGTACTCACGCAAGGCTAGCGAGCAGTGCACTCTGGGTACATCACCGTATTTGTGTTCGTGAAAGCAGACAGCGGAAAGCGCACAGCCTGACGGGCCACACTATGAAGCGAGCATTCTACGGTTCAGGTGACACCACGCATGAAAAAGATGTCGCTCTTGTGCGACAGTCTGCTGTTGCACAAGGAAAAAAGATAAACTGGAGAAAAAAATGAAAGCCGTTTACAACTCCCTGTAACGCCGAATTAGAGCGCAGCTCTTGAGGAGGAGGAGGGAAGGGTACTGGGGGGGGGGGGTCAAGTGACCTCGGGAAGCGGGGGGTCACGTGACCTTGGGGGTCACGTGACCATGTGGGAGTCACGTGACCTTGGGGCGTCACGTGACGTCGGGGGGTCACGTGACGATACCGATGACGTCATCAGTAGCGTCACTGATGACGCCATCAGTGATGATGATGACGATGCGGATGCCGGTGACGTCATTAGTGACGTCACTGATGACGTCATCAGTGACGATGCGGATGCCGGTGACGTCATCAGTGACGTCACTGATGACGTCATCAGTGGCTATGACGTCAACGGGGGGTCACGTGACCTCGGGGGGTATCCCCAGGTCACGTGACCCCAGGGGGGGTCACTTGACCTGGGTAACCATCGTGACCCTCGTGAGGGTAACCCTAGTAACCCTTGTGAGGGCAACTCTCGTGACCCTCGTGAGGGTAACTCTCATGACCCTCGTGAGGGTAACTCTCGTGACCCTCGTGAGGTTAACTCTCATAACCCTCGTGACCCTCGTGAGGGTAACCCTCGTGAAGGTTACCCTCACGAGGGTTACTAACCCTCGTAACCCGCGTGAGGGTTACGAGGGTAAGTAACCCTCGTGAGGGTCACGAGGGTTATGAGAGTTACCCTTACGAGGGTAACCTAACCCTCGTAACCCTTTTGAGGGTTACGAGGGTTAGTAACCCTCGTGAAGGTTACCCTCACGAGGGTTACTAACCCTCGTAACCCTTCTGAGGGTAAAAACCCTCGTAACCCTCGTCAGGGTTACGAGGGTAAGTAACCCTCGTAACCCTCACGAGGGTTACGAGGGTTGCGGTTACGCCGACGCCGACGCCGACGCCGACGGCGACGGCGACGGCGACGCCGCTCAAGCCGGGAACGGGCCCCTAAGAGCTGCGCTCTAAAAAGACAAGGACAGCAGGCGTTGCAGACTCCCAGTTTCTGCAAATCCCGAGAGTCCGAACATGCGTGCAAAATGGTTTGGACACTCCACTTGAAACGAGAATGACTCACTAGCATCATCGGGCAAAGCCCACACAAAAATCATGACAAGTGGAGAGTATGTGAGCATGTTAGTGAAGTTAATTAGTGCCCGTCTATTTTGTGTGTCCAAATAAATAAATAAATAAATAAATAAATATATATATATATATATATGAGTAAAGCTATACGCACTCCGGAATGCACTTCGGACGGAAATCGCTATACGCACTCCGCTTTTCTCGCATAAAACGAGTGGTCACAACGAATTTTCTAAGCGGAGGCATGGCATAGGGGTCAAGGTGTCCGCTTCATACGCAAGTGGACGCGGGTTCCATCCGCAGTGGACCTGCTTTTTTTTTTTTTTTTTTCTCTCAAACATTTTGTTTTGTCGAGGCATTTGGCGATATTTAGGACATTTCTTTTTTTTTTTTTGCGATAAACAGTAAAAAAAAAATCGAATGTTGTTGAGAAACTTCGCAAAACTAAATGGTATGGGACTCCCTTTCGAGTTGCGATCGGGGACATCGGGGCTTGGATTGCCGGCTGGACGCCGCGAAGCGGCGTGTACTGGTTACGATTTGTAATTAGCAGCCGATACTGTCGCCGCGAAGCGGCGTGAACGCAGGCGGGGGGCTGTGTTAACGAGCTCCCCAGTGATACACGCGCCGTTCTAAAAGGGTGGCCCGAGCGGCATGATCTCTCGGAGGAGCGCGTATAGCCATTTCCGTCCGAAGTGCACTCCGGAGTGCGTATAGCTTTACTCTCTCTCTATATATATAGCGCAGTAGATCAAAAGGCTCCAACCACAATGTTTTCTTTTTTTACGCGTTTCGCTCGCGTCGCTTGAGATCACCCACAGCGATAAGACGCGCGGGCCGACAAAGAAACCTGGCCAGTACAGATATGGGTAGGCAGCGAAGCGTGCCGACGCGAAGTGACGACCCACGTGCGATAAAACGTTTGACAGGTCGACCGACGTGTTGGGTGACCGAATCATGGCTTCGCGATTAGAACTCGCAACCCGTCGGACGGTTTGACGAAAAGCGCGAGGAGAGATGCTCGCCTAAGGAAAATACCTGTCAGAATACACTTCTCGGGCGCGATTAGGCAAAGGCAGGGCAAGGAAACAAACCAAGGAGATGCTTGAACGGAAGCTTAGGAGGACAGAGAAAAAAGGCTTACCTTCGAGAAGCACCGAGGAATGAGCCAATTGAGCAGTGCCCATAACCTCCAGGGCTGTTCATTCTTGCTCGCGTGGTGCCTCGCTACTTATTAGTCGCAAAATCCATTCTCGGACGGGGCATATCGGATCGATATGAGTTCTACGTAAAAATAAAAGACACACCAAACCGCAACAAAGCTTCGGAAGCTTCGACGCAAATGAAGTTCAGGGTGGATTGGATTGGCTTGTAAAAGACTTTGTTTCAAGGTGCATAATAAATGCGAAAATAAAAAAAG